TGCCTATTGAAATGAAGTCTATAAGGAAAACCTCGGCTTGATATCACTATGCTCGCATGAAATCGGGTAATCTCGCTTTTCTGGGTAAGAGTCATAGACCGTCCGGTTCCATTGCCTAGAGCGCCCAATAGAGTGTGTTTTACAGTTTGGTGGCTTCCAATCTAATCGTGTTGCATGAAATATAGAAGAAATTGTGAACGGAGTAATCTTAACGGATATCGCGCATCCATGGTATAAATACTCGATCCGCCACGAGCTTGCCACGAGGTGCTCCAGTCTTATTTTCTCTCTTCATAGTTGCTCTCCGATCTCCCTTCCATACTTTGTTCTTTGCCAACCTGCCAAACAAGACCCAAGGGAAAAAAAAAAGCGATTCTATACATACCAAAAGGTATCAACATGGAGCGCAAGATGGGACCGGCTGCTGAGCCGATGCATGTCGACCGGAAGCTGCTCTATACAAGTTTGGAAGAGCGAATCAAGTACCTCCATGACTTCCTGGACTTCAACTCCGGTAAGCCATTACCATGAACTGCTCTCAAGAGTCAGCCACAGTCACTCACATTTTCCCAGCTGATATCGAAGCACTGATGACTGGCAACAAATACATCAAGCAATTGATCCCGGCAGTGGTCAACCTGGTATATAAAAAGCTTCTCCAATACGACATCACATCTCGGGCCTTCCACACACGGACAACAGTCGACGAGAACGAGCCCGAGGAGGAATATCTCCACGAAGAGACACCGAAGATCCAGCGACGCAAGATGTTCCTGCGGTGGTATCTGACTCGCCTATGCCAGGACCCGACCACAATGGACTTCTGGCGGTACTTGAACAAGGTTGGGTAAGTTCACACCCCCACTTTCCGTTTCCAGATCCCCGTCCCGGGTCAAGTCACTGCGTTTGTGCAACGCGCTAACATGGGGTTTGGTAACACAGCATGATGCACAGCGGACAAGGACGCATGACACCATTGAACATCGAGTACATCCACCTCGGCGCATGCCTGGGGTACATTCAAGACATCTGGATCGAAGCGATGCTGTCGCACCCGCACCTATCGCTGCGACGCAAGATCGCGCTCGTCCGCGCCGTCAATAAGATACTCTGGATCCAGAACGATCTCTTCGCCCGGTACCACTCGAGCGACGGCGATGAGTTTGCGGACGAGATGTCTGAGTTCAATTACACTGAGGACCAGGAGGGATATCTCGGTGACAAGCGCATTCTTGGCAGCAGCTCCGGTAGCTCAACCGAGGATGACAGGTCCAGTATTTCTAGTGGTGTGGCGCCTTCTATAGCGCCGTCGACCACATCCAAGGTGTCCGCGTGTCCTTTCGCGGACATGGGCAAAAACAGTTCGACTGAGACGAGAATTTGGGCCAATTGAGGGGCTTCCTTTTCTGTGTTATTGTGCGGGCCACGATTTGCATCTTTCAGGCGCTTGGGTATGGATTATGGGTGATAGGGTTGGACTTTGGAAGTTTGGGGATTTGGAAATACATTTGATCAGCATAGACCAGTGTTTGGTAATTCAAAAAGAACTTGAAGACATTAGCACTTCGGCATTTCGTTCATCTCCATCTCGATCGTTTCATTCGTCTCGGCGGAATGCATCCGGCTTTGTCATCTTTTCCTCCCCACAACTCCCGAGGTCGGCTGTTATTCAAGGTAGTTGAGGAAGACTTTAGGATTTTATATCCGCAGGCACACCGGAGATAATTCATTAAGCCGCTGAATAGTCACAGATCCCGGACATAACTAACCGATCTCCCTTCAATTCAATAAAACAGTGAGCTACCAGAGTCCACCCCTTGGTGTCCCCGCCAACCCCCCGCCACTCTATTGGGTTAAGATCAGAGCTTCTATTAAACCAACTTAGCCCCTCCATTCGAATAGACCGGTCCCTTTCTGTATTAAGGGGATATCCTCCCGTATTATCTTTCTTCAACTCCCCGAAACACTCACAATGGCGCAATCCAACAAGCCGGTGACTCCGCTTATCATCAACAATGAGTCCATTGAGACCGATATCAAATTCGAGGTTCACGCCCCTGCCACTGGCGAGCTGGGTGGCTATTGCGCCGGTGTGTCAGTCAACGATGCCAACCGTGCAGTCGACAGTGCCCAAGCTGCCTTTCCTGCATGGAGCAAGACCAAGGCAAACGACCGCCGCGACATCCTGTTGAAGGCCGCCGAGATTATGGCCTCGCGCAAAGAGGAATTGATCCAGTACCAGCGCGAGGAGACCGGTGCCGGACGGCCTTTCTCGGAGGCCACCTTCAATATGGGTGTGCTCTTCATTAAAGACTTCGCGGGCCGTATATCCACTATCGAGGGTGTTGTGCCGAATGTCAGCGAGGAGGGCGAGGGAGCCATCGTATACAAGGAGCCGTACGGAGTAATTCTGTCAATTGCGCCATGGTAAGCTTCGTCATCCGATCTGTGGAATATACTGCAATTTATCAGCTGCCTGGGACCTTTTTTTAATTGATTGACAGGAATGCTCCTTTCATTCTGGGTACGCGCGCAGTTGCGCTCCCTCTTGCGGCTGGGAACACCGTCGTTCTCAAGGGCTCCGAGCTTTCACCCAAGTGTTTCTGGGCTCTGGGCGACATCTTCCGCCAGGCTGGTCTTCCCGCCGGATGTCTGAACGTGATCTTCCACCAGCCCTCCGACGCCCCGGCTGTCACCAATGCGCTGATCGCGCATCAAGCTGTGCGCAAGGTCAACTTCACCGGTAGCACAATGGTCGGCTCGATTATCGCTTCTACCGCAGGTAAATACATCAAGCCTGTGCTGCTCGAGCTGGGCGGCAAGGCGTCGGCGATTGTTTTGGACGATGCGAACTTGGACAAGGCTGCCATGAACTGTGCCATTGGATCCTTCATGCACGTACGTATAACATAGTGATTCGGCCGAGACAAGGATATCACATACTGACAAGCGAGACACAGTCCGGTCAAATCTGCATGTCGACCGAGCGGATTATCGTGCAGCGCTCGGTCGCAGACGAGTTCCGACAAAAGCTTGCCGAGACAGCTGAGAAGTTGTTTGGCAAGGATGCGCCCGCGTTGGTCTTGGTCAACACCGCGGGCGTCGCTAAGAACAAGAAGCTTGTGGCGGACGCTGTGTCTCGCGGAGCTAAGCTGCTGTTCGGCGACGTCAATGCGAGCGAGCCCATTAACGCGGGCATGCGGCCGATCGTCGTCGACGGCGTCACCAAGGAGATGGACATGTACGCGACCGAGTCGTTCGGCCCAACCGTGTCTCTCATCGTGGTAGACACCGAGGACGAAGCGATCGCACTGGCCAATGACACCGAATACGGCCTGACTGCGGCTCTGTACACCAACAACCTGTTCCGGGGGTTACGGGTGGCGAAGCAAATTGAGTCTGGGTGGGTTTTGAGTTCCGAAAACAGATCACATCATATGGGTGGAGATTGAGGCTAACTTTGTCCCCTTTATTTTCTTTCTAGCGCCGTTCATATCAATTCTATGACTGTACACGACGAGTCTGTCCTCCCTCATGGAGGATGGAAGAGCAGCGGCTTTGGTCGCTTCGGGGGAATTTCTGGATACGACGAATTCCTCCAGACTAAGACTGTTACTTGGCATGAGTAGAGGCTAGACTCGTAGGTACATACCTTACGAGTACACCGGTGCCAGGGTGCATAACAAACCTGTTTGGATTGGCCCCGTTTTGGGTCCGTTTGGCCCCGGGAGAGATTGGGCCGCCACGGGCGACTGTTTCCCTAGTTGTCTTGACAGGGCTTGTTTGGGACTTGTTCTGGGCTTGTTTGGAGCCCATTCGGGGTTTTGTTGGCTTTGATCCGAACCTGCAGTCAATGTAGCCAATGACGGAGCCTTCCCGTGTCGCCTTGAGATGCTCCAGAAGGATGCGGTCCGGATACCCGGCTTATACCGGATAGACGAGTATAAATGACTCGCTGTGATGTGTGATTTATGTTGCATCGGGGTTACAGCGTGGTATGCGGCTATAGGGGGTATTTTGGTATTTATTTTCTCTTCTTTAATTTCGTTTGGAGCCTCCAATTTAGGTCCGTCTTATGTTTGCCATGAGGCTGCATGTCATGTGATATATTCTTTTTCACTCATATAGGATCTAAGAATACCTATTTCGTAATAAATGAAGGGGTTGAGCCTCTGAATGCGCCTAGTAGTGGAATTGGAGCCTTTGGCCCCCATAAAAAGAACATTTGAACCTCAATAGTTGCGGCGAAGGCGCTGGACACGAGTCCCACCCTAAATCCAGGCACAGGGACGCAGCAAATCACCGCCAATCTCCAGGTGAGACAAATCCATTCTCGATTTTTATTTTCTATTTTAATTTTTACATGTCTTAATCCTTGGAAATGAGCGATTACAAGGTCAAACAACACAGGATACTACATACATACATACATACGATGGTGTACATATGTCATACTCAGTACGGAGTACAAGCTGCTAAACTTCCGCCCCCCTGAATATCAGCGTGTTGATCTTTCCCATAGACATCACAACCTCAATGAACCGGTGGGATCGGCGATTGCATTTGATACGGCACGGGCCTGACGGTGTGGAGTGATGTCACGATTGTCGTGATAATCGCGAATATCAGTGAATATCAGTCTAACCTTACAGGTTCAGTTCGAAATCCTCCCCCGTGGAAGGACACATGGTACCTGCAAGGCACAACGCCCTGTGCGGCTACAGTGAGGGCTTTGCTTAGTACAATACCTGTACGACGCCCGTCACAGGGCATGGGTCGAAGGCGCAGCCTTGTAATCTTGCAATCTCCTGAGACCGCTTTGGCGATCAATGTCTCTCTTGTTCCTAAACATGGGTGGCGCAAATGAGGAATATACATAAAGGATGCCTTGAATTAGCCGACACCTAATTTTGCATTATAAGAATATATAGCCGAGATATTCCAAGAGGCTCCGTGGCTACCAGGCTAATTCTCGGATCATATTTTCTGGTACGGAGTACTCCGTAAGGTGGTTCTCCGGGTCAAATGAGGGGGAACCTTAGGTACCTTCCTTGGAAGGCTTAAGGTAAACAAACATACGGAGTACAGTAACTTCCATACATTATTAGTCGAAATCTCTGTGCGTTCCTCCAAATACATTTCATCCATGTAATTCGCTCCCTTGGCCCCCAGTTTTAATGGTATTTTTAATCTTACATGTCGGGGACATTCTCTACATTAAGGGTACAGCCGTTATAAGGAATAAAATTAACTTCCGAGTTCCCCACCAATGAGAACCGGTGCCTGTCCATTATGATTATTACTTGACCTGTAACGCACAGCCTGACGCTATATTATTACAATCACACCTGAGCCACAGCCGGCCCGCATGCCCCACGAGGACAAGATGATGGGCACGAGACTGTCATATTTAAGGCGATTCCCTGTATGCAACAGTATTATGGTATAGGGTTATATCGAACTCGTACGGGGTATTTACAAGTAAGACAAAGTCAAAGCCATTAAATAAAAAGTCAAAAAGTCAAAAGTAACCGAAATGAGGTGGATGATATGGTTGGCCTGCGCGTGTCTTTTGGTTTTTGAGGATTTAGTGTAGACCCACTTGGATGTACCTCCGAGCTAGAAATGTTGTTTGCCTCTCCCTCTTCTTTCTTTATTATTTCTCTCTCTTCATCCCACTCATCACGATCCTTCTTTTCGTTTTTCAACGATAGTCATTCTTTTATTTCCCGACCTCAGTCACTCTTTGTCAATCTCGACACTAAATCATCATGCGTTTCTCCGTCGCAACCGCTTTCTCCGCCCTCGTGGCCGTGGCCGCCGCCTACACTGCTCCTGACTACACCCAGAACCCCAGTGGCAACGCCATCGTCTCTCCTGGCCTGAACGAGATCGTTCCCGAGGGCAAGGCCTACACCATCAAGTGGACTCCTACCACTACTGGTCCCATCTCTCTGGTTCTCCTGCGCGGTCCCTCCAACAACGTCGTCCCCCTCAAGACTCTCGCTGAGTCCATCCCCAACAGCGGCGAGTTCAAGTGGACTCCTGGCTCTGACCTCGAGGCCGACACCAGCCACTACGGTCTGCTCCTCGTTGTTGAGGGTACCGGCCAGTACCAGTACTCCACCCAGTTCGGTCTCTCCGCCGCTCCTGGCTCCGGTTCCAGCTCCAGCGCCGGCCCCACCACTGTCGAGACCACCGAGACCACCACCATCTGCCCCGAGACCGAGACTCCTGTTCCTGCCTCGTCCACTGTCATCTCGAGCGTCGAGATCACCACCACCATCTGCCCCGAGTCTGAGACCACCGCTCCGGCCACCACCCCCGGCCCCAAGGTCACCCCCACCGGTGTCTCCCCCGTCGGCCCCCCTTCCAGCACCCCTCTGACCTCCGCCCGTCTCACCACCAGCGCCATCCCCTCTGGCACCGCCTCTGCTTCTCCTTCGGCCTCGTCCCCTGTTTTCAACAGCGCTGGCCGCAACGCTGCCAGCTTCGGTGCCGTCATGGCCGGTGTCCTCGCCGCTTTCGCCCTCTAAGCGCATTCTCTTAAAATGGAATTGCGTGTCGATGGCCTTTTCTTTCTTTCTGCTACAAGCACGGAAATAATGTTTTCTTATTTTCATGACGCTTAATTTATTGATTTTGATATGGGCTCTCTGGAAACTGTCTTTCGGCTGAGTTTCCGCATCTCATACCACGTTTCTATTCTTGTGTGCTATTTTTCTCGCATCTCAGCAATGGTTGCGTAATGTGAAGTTCATGTCCTTATGCTTTGCTCCTTGTAGTCTACTTGTCCACAGGTAGATTCTAGGGCATGGGTCGTGTTTTCACCCGTATAGACTCGTAGTGTGGTCGATAGATCCATCGATCAGTAGACTTAGTAGATGTGGAGATCGCTTCCAAGATTGTTGCGCTCAATTTATCCGGATAGCCTAATGGAGACACATAATTAGGCAAAATAGGGGGCAAAGAAAGGTCTGGCAAACACTGCCCGAGCAAACGCCTGCATCTTAGTACCAAACAGGTAGCAAACAGCTCAATGCAGCAAACTGATTGCACGTGAAGATGCGGTGCGGTCCAAAGCTGTATGTTCATGATGCAGACTGGAATTCTATTACACTGCATGATATTCAATACATGCTATTTGGGCTCTGTTCGTAGTGTAACCATGCAACTGGTCTCCGACTTTGTCACTTTACTTTATGGGAAACATCAACTTCTTTTTCTTCAGTGACATTATCAAGATATGGATAATTTTAGATACCAAAGAGACTATCATACCATGCAGTCAGTGATCAAAGTCGTCACTGTCTAAAGACAATTTGAGATAGTGTAACTTTCTTCCAAGGTTTGATTCAGTGCTATAGTACTTCCTAGAGAATGAGTATAAAAATCCCCCTGTAAGATATCTATATCTATTATCCCTCCTTTGCTATCAATTCCAGGGACAATATTTCCTCAGGATTTGTAACAGCCCAGTCTCTAAAGCTAAAGAAACCCACTATGGATCAAGAACGCCTTTTCTCCTGGCTTATTTTCCCTACCCTTATCCTTCTACTCATGGCCTTTTTGAACCACTTGCTCAACCCCATACTAGCCCTCCTAGTGCTTACAGCCCTCAATTCTGTAGACCAGTTACTATATCCACTCCACCTGTTCATATAGCTCTGATTCTCCGCTATGGGACCGTACGTCCCCAATTCCAAGCACTACTTTGGTCATCTGGTATCAGATTGAACATGACTATCAACACATTAGTTAGGATCTCCAATCATTAATCCGAAATTCGACTCCACTCACGCTCACCAAAGGCACCGAATGTATCGTCAAGTTGTTCAAAGATATTCGCGGACGGGTATTCAGATGACTCGAGGGGTGCTTGGACTGGTCGGTCGTTTGCTCTACTCTGGTCGTGTGTCGCTTGGGGCATGTGTGGCGGCTCTCTCGAATGGGGCGGTGTGTGAATTGTTGACATTGGAGGATGATCGGGGACATCTCGGGAGTGTGGCGAATGACGCCCAGTATGGTCTATACGAGTCGGTTCTACACTCAGAATGGCCCCCGTTTCAGATATCTCTTTGGGAAGATTCATTCCCAATCCCCCTCTCAAGGCACCGGACATCTCTCGCTCGATAGTGACTTTCAGCAACTCCGTTAGAAGCTGTGCAGTCTGCTTGGCGATACGATTGTGGGGTCCCAAAGCTGTGCTAGCATGGATGATATGCATGATTCCAGTCTTGGCCTCGTGCGCAGCTGTAGTAAAAGGTTGACTGGTTGGCAGGATGCAAAGGATGACACCCGCAGTAAATTGTTGTAGAGAAGCGAAGGATTCGGCGAAATGGTGCTTGAAACGGAGGACCGGGATGCGAGATATACGTAGTGCAGCCGCAGTGGCCACTCTCAATGACTCGTGGATTGCGTCTACCACCAAGTGCGAGCAGGAACTAGTAATTTTCTGCTCAAGTAAAGGTCGACGGGCTTGTATAAGAGCTCCATCGTATGTCAATTGGAGAGTTGCCGCCTGCAAGATGATTGTTTCTGCTTGATATTTAGTGCGTTGTGGTAACCCTTCGATTTGCTGTTGGAACTGCTCTAGGCGATTGTCGCAGCTCCAAAACTCGAAGTCGAACAATCGTGGAACCCTTTTTCGCCAGGAGATTAATTGTTCCTCTGAGTCTTGTGCAGCTTCTGCAATTGCCAGAAGGTCCTCTTCTATTGTCTCTTTCCTTAATTGGAGACGACGAAACCGTGAAAGAATGTGTCTAATGATGTTGTAGATCTCATACTTCATAGCGAAAAACCCAGCTGTCGTTGTTGGCATTCCATCGCCAGATATCCATTCATTTTTCAGCAGAAGTGGATCAATGACTAGGTCATCCATGTCTCTGAGTGAATGCAAAGCGACAAGTCCGGTATCAATAGAGGAAGGTCGCCCATAGATGATAGACGCAAACGTGTCCCCGACGATAGCATGATTCCAACAGCGAGAGCGAACCTCATCCACAACTGGACTTTCACATTTCGCTGATTTTGTATAAAGATGAAGGGCGTAGGCAGACCTCACCGCCATACCAGAGACAGTCCAAGCAATACTCGGTGAACTATGATAAACATAATAGGAGGACACCAAGAAGCAAACTTGGACAGCTTCAATTCGGCAGTCGATTGAGATATCGAGCAGGTTCCGTCGTATCTCATTGATCAGACCGTGTATCAACTTCTCCCCGTCAACGGAGTGTTCTCGCAACAATTCGTGTCCAGGCCATCTCTGATCTGGTAGCACAGAATGCAGCCCGATCACAGCCACTGCTAGTACAGCCATGGTAGGACTGAGATCTTGACGTCTCCACGAAGTCTGGGAGATTATCCTGCGTGCAGTTTCCCGGAAGGAGGGCTCATGGAATATCAAGATGAACCATTGCATTCGGTCGAAATAGACGTCAATCAAGGCGAACATCACGGCCTCTGGGGGAAGCTCTACCTCTGTCAAATGCCATAGTGAGTTGTCCAACGTAGGAGCTCCCGTATCACCAGGGATCGATGCACCGGTCAGAGTCCGGCCAGCTTCTTCCTCGTTGAAGACTCGTCTGGCGAAGTCAATCGCAGAAGCATTAGCACCAGACTGCGGCTCTTTCGGGGCGCGCTCCAGATAGGAGGCTGAGCTCTCTGGGGCATAGGGTTTCTCGGCTCGTCCAGTGCTATGGATAGAATTTGAATTTTTGTGTGTCGCTGAGGCGATTTTTCTGTGTACTCCAGGATTCAGATCTCCGTCCCTTGGATGTTGTCTGCGAGTCCGTTTCGCTGTGCGCTGAGACGTCTCGCATTTATGTCCAGTGCGAGTGCAGAGCACGCAAGGGCGCGAGCTGTCGCACTATACAGCGAGGTGAGAACCATAATTTCAAATTAGGGGGTGCAGTGAAGGGATCTACCTTGAGTTTCTGGCGGCGGCATCTGTCACATGCTCGCGATGTGCGGAGTGGCTTTTGCAACAGACTGGTCTCTTGCTCCATGAATATAGTAACATAGGGGTTTGGCTAATTCCATACAAGAGTCGAAATCTCCAGGCCTATATGTGTCCGCTGTTTGTCACTAGGGTTGCATCTGAGGTCCCCGCAATTTCGGGATGGCCGAATAACCGCGGAACCGAATTTAGCATTTGGCCCAAGAAGCATATATAAGAATATTAGATACCATCTTGATTGTTTTCATCATGTATACGCTAAAATAACTAAATGCTTTTAATATATCAAGTTGCGGTCAAGCCGAAGAGGTGTCCACGAGCATTCTGCGCCTGGGAAAGAACAATCTCAGCCGCAGGATATGTTTGTAGTAAATGCCCAGCCGCTTCCTCGCAAGCATACAGGTTCGACATGGCCTGCATCCTCACAATATCATCTGAAACCTTCAGGTCAGGAAGACTTGCCTCCAGAATAATAATCAGTATAGTAATAGTGCTTCCAGGGAGGAAATGAAGCATCCTGCAGTCATACAGCTCATTGAGAATCTCATTGACCTGCAAAGTGAGGCCTCTCATTTGCGATATAAGGGTGGTCTGGATACCATCTCCTCGGCTCGAAGCAGCTTGGTAGAGTCTGGACATCGCAGTGAGATGGAGGAGATACAGGAAAGCTTGGTGGACGAGGAGGACAATCTCCGGGGACGCTGCATGACAATCATGCAATAGTGATGGGGGGAAGTAATGTGCTGGCGCAGGAAGGTCTTGAATCCAGGTCTTCAGAAGCTGTTCGCATCCAGTTATTGCAGCCTGAGATATATTTGACTTGGGTACCATGGAGTATTCGCATTGCCCCGACGGCGACGGCGACCAAGCATCTTGATAAAGAAGATTGATGATAACGCCCACACAATGAGCGAGCTTAATCTCTTGAATGAATAGAAGCATCATTCGCTCTTGATTTTCCCAGCTGAGCATGGCGGATGCTTCTCCCAACATAACAAGCACGAGGTCATGGTATGGCTCGGAGGAATAGTATCTCGTAGAGTCCAGTAGCGACATTGTGATGTCGCTGTTTGGGATTCGCAATGGTCGACGGAAACCGAGGGAGAGAATGCGGTCGCGGACGTAGAGGCACCACCACAGCCTGTGTGTGTGAGAAAAACTACCTGTTTGTAGACTCCCCAGAAGACCAACGCGCTCTGCCGTCGAGTAGGCGAGATCAAACCAGTATGTAGGGTCTTTGTGGCCACTTCCACTCCCATGCCACTGCATCATGAGCAATAATGCTTGGATCTGGGTGTATGCGTTTGGTTCAGTCTCGAATTCATAAAGAAGCTGATGATAGAGTCGAAATTAGTCTCGACTTGCCATGGATTCTGTCTTCTCCAGATATCTCACCTTAGCTCGCCCAAATAATGTCCTTCGCAATGCTTTCCGTGACGAGAACCCGGCTTTGATGGCTGTTTCCTGCTCAATAAATGCACTGCCAGCCAACATGACAGCTTGATGAAGAAGCGGGCTTGGAAATCGGGATTCATCCTCGACCATGACATTCAATAAAAACCATTGCAAATCAATGACAGGCAGGAGAGGATGAACATATTTGATATAAGCCGCGAGCAACTCATTCCGAAGGTCGATGGGAACTATTCTGAGAGCCCCTTTCAACTGTAGATATTCTTTACTTTCTTCAGAGAGATTCGGCAGCCGGGCTTCGAAAGTTCGCTGGAGTTCGAATGTCTGATTGTGCTCTCCTAGAATAAGATCCGGGGTCGGCGGCGAGAGCAGCTCATTTATCGTTGTAAGATAACTGTCTAAGGGATATGTCTGGGGCACGTTCTGCGTCAACGTCATATGTGGTTGATTGGATATCGGCTTAATCCCCGAGGCGAGGAACTGCGCAAAGGGATCTAACAATGTCAGCGAATACGCGAGATTGGGAGTATATGCTTGGCACATGTGTCCTACCTAGCTCATCCCCGCCTCTGTCCAATCGATCTACATCCTCGGCATTGGAGAAAGCCTCCAGAAGACTAAGAGAAGACGGGATCTCCATCGGCATGGGCTCCGGTCGCTTCCTCCGTTTGCTGCTAAGGGGATTAGCGCCAGGGCAACCTCTATAGGCAGGAAATATTTACCTTGATTCTTGGGGACACAGTGAGAAGAACTCGATTGATTGCGACAAACACGTGAACCGAGGTCGGTTCACACCGGAACTTTGACAGTCCGCACTGGATACACTCTAGTGGTGGTCGCGTCTCCTGTCTTCTTGGCCCGACTATTTTGTATGTCGTCCTGTGTTGGAGGATTGCCCTTAATATGAAGGGGATACGAGAATCATCCGCGTCATCCGTGGGGAAACTTGGGGCCCCGCATTTTCGAGGATCCGAGGGATTTCCTTGGTGATAATTGGCTGTTCCTGGTCTCAATTCCACAAATCTAGACTCTGAGCTGCTAGAAAATTGCGGTGAGTGGACGCTCACCTTCCACCGGAGAAGGGGAACTTCCACCGGAACTTCAGGAGCCAATCACATGTTCAAGAAACTCAATCTTCATCTACTCCGTATATTGGAAACGACTTCATTCCTTTACATGAATAGTATCAAAACTACGAAGTATTCCAGAACCCACCTCAAAACAATCCATCATCCAATCCGCCATCTACCAAGGAAATGACCCATCCTTATTAACAAACCCACCAGCCTCCCCATCCCTCTCACCAAGCACAATCCCCAAAATTCCTCTACCAGACTCCAACGGATCCCCAGCCCTCCCGTACGCACTAACAGCAGCCTCATCCTCACCCCTCAAATTCGACCTCACAAGACCAGGACAGAACGCGAAAACCCGCACATGACTCTGCAACCGCTTGTGCATCTGAACAGTAATCATATTCAGAGCCGCCTTGCTTGCGCGATACTCATCCCAAGGCGCAGCATACATCACACTGCTGGGATCAGTTGCCATTTTCATTGAGCCCAGACCGCTGGAGACTTGGATCAGATAGGGCTTTTCCGATTTGAGGAGGAGGGGAATAAAAGCCTCTGAGACCAGTGTCGCACCAATCACGTTCGTCGAGAAGATTTGGTTCAGTCTAGCGCGGCCGCTGCTGTTGGGTGCGGCGGAGCCGGCGTTGCTGATTAGGACGTCGAGTCGGTTGTGTTGTTCGTCTACGGTGTGCACCGCTTGGGTTATGGAGGTGTCGTCTTCCACGTCTAACTGGAGTAGGGATAGAGTTCCCTTGAGGCTTTTGCTTTGGAGTTCGGAGAGGGCTTTTTGGCCTTTCTGGGGGTCTCGGCAGGCCAGGATTACATGGTGGTTTGGGTGCTCGGCTAGGATTTGGGCTGTTGCGTAGCCGACGCCTGAATTCGCGCCTGGATAGAGTTAGGTTCTGGGAGTGGTTCGGCTCTTTAGTTGGTGGCCTACCTGTGATGAGAATGATGGTTTGTTGAGACATGCTATCGTAGTTGTTTAGTTAGTCTGTGGGGAAAGGGCTAGTCAAGAGATAGGGCTGAGCCGAGTCATGGAGGCAAGAATTGACTACTTTCCTATGGGCGTCACGGACTTCATATACTATATCTACTCAATGAAATCTGATATTCCAAGTCGGATATAAGTTCTATCACCGTGACGCTGTCTCGGTGTTAAGCCGGACTTATGCTGACAGAGCAAGACCGAAGACATATTATCTGTACGTCCCGCCTATGTAGGTAGTGGTCCAGACCGTCATACCTCAAAGTAAACATATGAATTGCGGAATTGGAGCGCATATAGCTAGTATGTATGCTTATGATGTCATATGAATCACCCCGCGTCACCTTCCAAGGTTCGCCGGTCTCGGTCTATCACAGATCAACCAATCAGTTCTGAGTATTGTATGTCTCGGAGTCACATTGCAGGCTAAGCTTTTCAAGACTTCGGTCCGAGTTCGTCTTATATGTCCTACAGCTAGACAGGTTTGGCGATCGAGCCACAAGGTAGTGGTATTTAGGTGTTTAGGCAGCAATTGCCAGAATCAGGTGCTGAAAACTTTCGTATTGGGCTTTGAGTTTCCAGTTTTCAAGATATATCTTGCAATTTTTTTTTAAAAAAAGATGATCCAATACATCGCCAATGGAGGTATCAACGCTGTGCAATCCATACACAAGAGGAGCGAGAACAATCAAATCAGAGAAACAGTATGTGATGAAGACAGGGTAATGTAATGAACGATGACAGAAAAGTATAGATTTTACTTTTGCGGGAAGTCTTTTGACAGGAAGAAATGCAGATAGTTATACACACCCAGCCTAAAGGAAGAGGCACTTCTAAGTAGACCACATCACTAAAGGAGTATAGACCACCTTCGAGCGGTCATGCCAGTGACCGCTTGTCTTTCTCTCCTGATAGCAGTAGCACACAAGAGAGAGGGGGAATTAAGAGTGTAAGAAAAAGGAGGAAAAGACAAGAGAGAACGAAATGATAATCTTTTGGATTCGACGGCAAATCCACATCAAGGACGTGGCCACGATCCTTGCAGTGGAGGCAGCGGACCGCCAGGAACCGACGGTGATCCAGAAGGCGGGCCAGCAACCGCCCGTCCGGCGGGTGCAATTGGGGTCGAAGAATACGGCGGACTTGCAGGCCAAGCAGGCTGGGACTGAACCGAGTCGAGCATTCTCCCCTGTGGAGTGGGTGCCGAAGTTGGCTGTGTGCCTGAAGCTGATCGGGCAGCATCGGCGCCCGACCAAGAGGTGGTGCCCAGTTCGGATGCGGGGAGGAGGGTTGGTTGGACGGAGAGTGGAGAAGATGGTCTTGGGGGTAAGGCGCTCAGGGACATTGTGCGGCCTAGGTGGTCGCGGTAGAAGTCTCGCTCGGAGCGGTAGTGGTCTCGTTGTTGGACGAGGGAACGGAGCTCCTCGCTCTGGCGGCGGACTGTTTCTACGTTGCGCTGGATCTCATCTTGCTGTGCGCTCAGACGCTGCTCGAGTTGCATTTCGTTGCGCTTGCGGTTGCGGAACCGTCGTGATGCGTCGCTGTTGGCTTTGCGCTTTTCGGCTTGGCTGGAGGAGCCGGATCGCATGTCTAGTACGCATGGTATCATTCCCAGTGGGAGGGGGCTAGCCTGCGGTGTTCCAGCTCGTGTGGGGCCTGGTTCACGTTGGTGTCCTGGGCCTTTTGTTGCGGGGATGGGTCGGGCTAAAGGGTCCATTGTCATATATGAAGGTGCAGTGTATGACGCAGTGCTTTGTGCGAGGGAGATACTGGTCACTGCTGGGGATGCACGGCCAAAGGGACTGAAATTTGAATGAGGCGTGCTAGGACTCGTTTCTTGGGAGTTTGGGTTGGTGAGAGGCCTCCGGCCGGCACTGGTTTGCCTGGAATGCAGACTGGTTGTAGAATGTAGCGAGGTCAGCGGAGGCTGAGTGCCAGCGAGAGGTGCTATTGAGCGTAGTCCCGTCTCTAAGGGCAGAGGCGAACTAGTGACGGGCAGACGTGGGCCCATCAACGGTTCGTGAGGAACTAGCGGTGACTGTGCGACACTTGACTGACCAGAAGCCCTGCCGCCCCCGCCGACGAACCGTGCCGAAGGCGATGCTGGATTCATCAAAGGCCGCGAATGGGACCTCGGAGATAGCGGCTGCGACGTCGACGTATATCCTGAGCGGATGGGCGAAGTTCCTTGGAGGCGAGGTGAGGAAGATGGACCCGGTAGGCTCAGTGGCTCACGGCTGAGTGCAGTTAGGTCAGCGGTTGTCTGTGGATGATTCAAGATGGCATGAACACCAATGGGTCGCGATGACATGGATTCCAGTGGTGGTTCCACGGGTCCATATGGATGCCATGACTGGGGTCGAGGTCGATTAGGCGGCCGACGGGCAGGATTTCGGTTTGTGAATGCACGGTCATTGCCACTCGCACGGTCATCTGTTTGAGTCAAATCTCTGGACAATGAACCTGCACGTCGAGAATCCTGCGACATAGAAACCGAATCTCCCACGACGGGGCGGGAGTTAGGGCATGGCCGAAACCCCCCTCTCTCCTCGTCGCTGGGCTCTCGAGGAGTGCGAGAGAGGGAGGGTGAAGGCGATGGATACCGATCTGAATAAAGTGATGGATTGGGTGAATATGAGCTCGAATATGGTGCGTTCAACACACTGATTCCTAGGGCAGCCACGATGAATAAGATGGTAAGGATATATAGAACAAGAAACTCGATTCTCTCAATTGAGGATCGAGGAAAGATAATCAATATAAGGAAGCTAAGGAAGCTAGAAAAGCTAGAAAAGCTAGGAAGATGGGGCGGAAAAGATCCGAGGCCCTTAATAACAGCTGAGATAAAAAGTGACAAAGTCAGGAAAGTCAGGGAAAATGGGGCAAGCTTAAGAGGAAGCCGTTGCAATTAGCAGCGGTGAGGGAATGATCCATCACCTGGTCTGGATGGCTCCAAGACAACTTAGTTGTCTTTCTGTCCGACCCAGTCTGGCGGATAGTTGGGCATCTCCTAGTCTAAGTCTAACCCCCGGAGTATTGGGCTTCTTTTTTTTCTTTTTTACATTTGGGTTTTTCGTTTTTAGTCTTTTTTTATTTATATAATAATTTAGGTTAAAATAGATGGAAAAAGAAAAGAAAAACAGAAATAGAAATAGAAATAGAAATAGAAATAGAAATAGAAATAGAAATAGAAATAGAGATAGAGATAGAGATAGAGACATAGAATGTATCCAATATGTCCAATATATCCAATGTGCCAACATGCCAATATGCCTGTCTAATTGACTGATATCACCCCCTATTATCGGCAATTACCCAATCCAGCTACAGTACCCTATAATATCTCGTCAAGTATCGAAGTACCCGGGGAAAGCGATCGTCATGCACAGCACGAATCATCGGGAGCTGCAAGTGTGCGCCGTCACCATGGACATGGACAGGGACGGGTGGAGACTGGCTTTTTTTTTATTAATTTTTAAATTTTCTTTTTCTTTTTCCTTTTTGCCTTTTTTACCTTTTTTTATTGTTAAACTGTCTGTTTTGATTTTCCATAAAGAGGCCAGAAAGGTTTGGGACTCTGGCGTAAAACGTTATTGGATAGTACAGGAAGAAAGTTCCTTTTGCCTTCTCTAAGATGACGCATGACAATCTGAAATGAGACGAACCGTGTATGTTGTACTCCGTACTCCATTTCCCATAGTCCGATCTATACCGACTCCGGTATAGGTAATCAATCCCCAGTAGTTGCCTGGTAAGCCTGGTCCTGTCAATTTCCGAGAGTTTGGTGCTTGGAGAGACTAAACCCTAGAGGTGCTATTAATCTATAAAAGGGGCAGAGATAAATAAAAATACAAAAATGAAAGAAAGGCAGAAAGGAAGAAAGGAAATCCTCTAAAGTTTATTGGAATGGATGTTGTGCATCACCAAATCTTCCCCGTGTCCCGGTAACAGGGGCCGTTGACCGTTAGGAGTAACTGGGAACAGTTCCGTTCAACTTTTGCTTCAGTACTCCGTACAATCTACAGCTTGATATTTATTTGACATCATTGAACAGGGTAACGCAGAGAACAAACCCGACGCTGGAGAACCCAGAATCAACTTAAAAAGAGCACTTCGTTTAACCCCTTGGTGTGACAATGATATCGCCCACCTGAAAATGATGTCATTCGAAACAGTAAAAAAAGTAAATAAACACCAACCAGGTGACAATTCGTTCTCTATCACCTTGGATTTGATGCTCTGCTCCACGATCGGATCAGGCGGAAAAGGATCCGGGATTCTCCTAGCCTCAGGATGTGAGCTGCATAAGAAACCCGTGTGGATAGCTCTATTCCTTCAAGCTCGAAGTCACGGGATAAAGACTCCGCGTGGCTCCCCAAATAAGCAGCGGAGATCGCTTTAGTGTCTACTCCGTAGTCGAAGGCACTGCATCAAAGTGGGTTCTTGAAATGGAAAGATAATGCGATTTCATAAAATAGGCGAGCTGGCGCTGGCGCAGCTGGAGCGCCTCTTCTTGGCCCGTTGTTGATCATCCTTCGATATTGAGGAGGCATTGTCGGAATTGTTCCGTGATCTCCGCGGATTCTGATCTGGGTGATTCCGTACTCCATCCTCCGTAAGTGGGTAAGCAGGCGCTTGGGTACAAAATATTTACGATAGATCTTCTTTGGATGTGTTGTCATGCACAAGATCCAAGGTCGCTTCCGACAGAGTTTGAAGGGGAGCTGTCAGTCTTTTGTTGCAGCAGAGGACCCGCTATTGTGTGTTTCTTTTCTTTTTCTTTTCTCTTTTTTGGACGAATCATCGGCCATAGCCGAAAGACAATTGCGGTCTGATAGATCCAGTGGTTTTGACTGGTCGAATCGAAGAGGGGGGCCAAAATATTCTTCTTCCATGTTTCTCTCTTCTTTCTTTTTCCTACTCCTTACTCTATATGGATGGAGTAGGGCTGTTTCCTCTGTCAACTTGTGGCTTGCAATCTCAAACCACCGTTCCCAGACCATTGAGTCTTTGTAGCCAGATCCCTCCCGAGGTCTGGTCGGATGCGTGTCATCGAACTATTTGAATTGCGCAGGAACGGAGAAGTTAAAAAGAGATCCGGTAGAACGGGTTCATCGATAACTGTATCATTTTTTTCCTTTTTCAATTTTCAATTTTCAGTTGAATTTTTAGTTGACTCTAACTTCACTTCAACGGAAGTGGATACTGTCGCCCCTTTTCATGATCTGCTGTCTGTTCACCGCATGACCTCCGATTATCTCGTGTCCGCTGCAACCGCATTATCCTCGAAAAAGCAATAGAATGACTTTATCTAATTTAGATTCCGAGGATATATCCCGTTGACAAGGACAGTAGATCTTCCCTCTTTGCTCCGTACTCCTCGGAAAACCAGCACAAAAGCACAGCACATTGAAATACACCACCTATCACTCCGTGCCTGTGCCCTGCAGGGCAGATCCCCCTAAAGCAAAGAGGTGGCAGTGCTAGTGCCCACGCGTTAGCCTTGACCGAAATCCAGCCGAGTTTGAAATCGGACGGAAATCAGGGGAGGTTCTATAACAATAGCATGCGTGGAGTATATGGCCGACATGATGTGAGATCGAAATGCGGAAGCTGATTCGATCTATAAACCTGGCTTTTTGTCCCTTGCGTGGGCTGCAATACAAGGCTCCTCCGTGCTCTAACCCAGGTTTCCGGACAATGACAGCGCGGACCGGCGTGCTCGCCCGTTTGCTGATCATCGATCCACACTCAGCTTCACACTGCATATCCGGATTTGTCGAGTGCGTCTTAGGTACTTTTTTTTCTTCCTGCGAATACGATGACCACTCCCGCCTTTTGGGCCTAATTTTCGCCGCGGGAAATCTAAAGTACTAGTGATGCACCATTGATCCTTTTCCTGCTCTCTGCACATGTACGTTGCAGTGCGGCCGAAGTACGGAGTAGAATAAGAATAGACCAAGAATCGAACTAAGCATGTACTCCCGGCAGTCTGTATGTGCTATGTATGTACGAGGTACTATGTACCATGTAGTATGTATCCCAGGATGTCTGATGCACGCGACAAACGAATCCATCATACCCTAGCCCTGAAACCGAAACTCATTCTTAGGCACGCCACGGATCCCGACATCAACCCTGAAAACCCGGCCGCTATACCTAACCGACTGCGGCAGCTGGTCATCATCATGGTCATCCTTGGCAGTAGTAATAAACAACTCGGTGCCAACAAAGACTGGACAGGTCACGTTGCGCGTCGGGAGATCGATCTGACCGATAACCTTTCCGGCCGGGGAAATGCGCAGTACCTTTCCGCCGCCATAGACAGCGCTCCAGATGCAGCCCTCGACATCAATAGCGAAGCCATCGGGCTCTAGTGCATTGCCGATATCGAAGTGCACTCGGCGGTTGCTGATCGCGCCGCTGGACGCATCGAAGTCAAAGGCAAAGATCTTGCCTGTCGGCGAATCCGTCAGGTACATCACGTCGTCGGTTAGGTTCCACCCGATCCCGTTGGGGATCGTCACCGGTGCTAGCATATGGTGCACAGTCTGATCTGGGTCTAGTCTGAATAGGACTCCTTCTGCTTCTGGCTTCTTGATCTTCGGGTCGTTCATCGCTCCGGCCCAAAATCGGCCTTGGCTGTCGACTGCACCATCATTGAAACGCATTCTATATTTTGTAACAATTGGCGTTTGATGTTAGTTGGACTTTGAGGTTTTTTTTTTTTTTTCTTCTTTTTTTTCCGTT